AATTGTTTTGTGGTTGTTTTTTCCAATTTACATTGTTATAGTTATTGAATATATGGTTTCCCTGACTCTGCTTACTTCATTCTCCCTCAGTTCATGTCTTTCCATGTGTCTTTGTATTGATCATATTCATTGTTTTTTACAACACAGTTATTTTCTATTACATTGGTGAATCACATTTTTTTAGCCATTCCTTATCTGATAGGCAGCTATTTAATTTCCAGTTATTTACTACCAAGCAAAAATGATATAAATATTTTGGCATATGTGATGACTTAATTTTTATCTCTAGCTTTTTAGGTTATATGCCTAGTAGTGAAATCTCTGGGTCAAAAGATATGGCTATTTTAATCAATTTATTTGCACAATTCCAAATTGCTTTCCAAAATGATTGTATTAATTCACTGCTCAACCAATACTGCTTTGATATGCCTAGCTGTCCTCAACCCTTCCAGCATTGATTATTCATATTTGTTGTCATCCTTTGGGCTTTCTCGTTTCTTACTCCTGAACTTTGATTCCTGGCCATTGCTTCACCATACTATTCACAATCTAACCATTATCCTCTTCTTTACTACATCCCCTTGGAACTTTGGATGTTGCCCCTGTATTCCCCAGCCCTCATAGGTGAGGTTTTTATTTTTCTTTCTGGAAACTGGGCTACCATGCCAATTCCTTGATATCTCCATATCATGTCACCCCACCTTCTAGCTCTCCAGCTCCCTTTTATGTATTGTTTTTCCCTATTAAAAATGCTCCTTGAGTGCAGGGATTAGATTGCTTGCTTGTTTTGTCTCCCCAGTGCTTAGCACAGTGCTGGGCATAGGGTAAGTGCTTAATAAATTATCTGTCATCTATCCATCCATCCATCCACCTATCTACCCATTTATCTATCATCACCTCTGTCTGTCTCTCTGTCTCTTCTCTATCAACATATTTTCACTATCCTCCTCTGTACCCATTGAAATCCCTTGGAAATAAAAGGCTTTTTGGTCTAGATCTGTGATTTCATTGGCATAGGGCACAGGTGTAAAACTCACTGCCCATGAAATTCCCAAGTGCTTCCCAAACCAGATCAAAATGTAATTGGCAAAAGTTTAACAAAATAAATAAAAATGCAATACAACACAGATAATGTTTATCTGTGGTTTTCTAAATTAATATGCAGACTGCCAAGATCTATTACTATTACAGTTTCACACCACTGGTATAGGGAACTTCCAGTGAAAAAATTTCCTCTATAAATGCCAATCAGCAATAATTCTGCAATTTATAATCTTGAGGAATTGCTAGGGGCAATGAGAAGTTAAATGACTTGCCCAGGGTCACATAGCCATTATGTTTCAGAAATGGGAGTTGAACCTACCTACTCTTAATTCTGTGGCCAGCTCTTTATCCACTACGCCATATCACATTTGTTGTTCATTATAATGGCATAGTGTTGTCTTCCTAGAAATTTCCTACTTATATACACTTTGCAACAGAAGTTGGAACATACACTACAATTATGTTCATGTTGGGTTTATTTTTTGGTTAACATTTGTCATAAACTCTGCTATGGGAGATAACCGAGCATTCTATGAACTTAATTCTGTTTTTGGACACCCAATTAATTCAATTCTTTTATTTGTCTCTTCAAGCATAATGAATGAGCCATCCTCCCATTTAGTTGCAGTTTTTTTGTCTTTCAGTTTCATTTATGGAGAGCTTGTCAAGATCAATAGCATTCACTTCTCTTAGTAAGTAGTATGTCCATTTGCTGGTTGTTGAGCAAGGATTTTGCATTTAGAATACCAGCGGTTGTAAACCATTACGGAAATAAACATATGAAAAATGCATAATTATTAGCCCCCATTCCCTCTTTTCCACCATTATTTCAGAAGTGGAAAAAAAGAAGTGGAAAGGAAGTTACAATGGACCATATTTTTCTTTGTTTCATGAGTTGCTATAGCCAGAGAATTCATCACTAAGTGGCTGGTCTACTGGTGATGTTCCTCTCTATACTTAGCTAGCCTGATATTCAGAAAGCAAATATTTAATCAGACATGGGGTTCATTTCCCCATAGATTATCATACCACCATTTGGGGAGAATGCAGAGAATATGCATCACCAGGGAACATATGTAGAGGTCACACATGTGTAGAACACTTGTGGCCAAGGAACATGCCTGTAGGTTAGACCAGATCTATCATTATCCATATTAATTAAAGAACTAAAAGCTAAAAATTGGAGAGTACTTTCACAGTTTCAGTGAATTTTTCGGGAAGACTAATGATACAGGAGTTGGGTAGACTAGTAAGTGAAATAGACTGCTGACACCCAGTCCTAGGAAAAGGGGAGCTGAATCTCCTTGGCAGGGACACACTACCACAGGGCTGAGTTGTCTTCTTTCTATTTGTCCTTAGAAGGTGGCATTTTCTCTCATCGTTGAGATCTTTCAGTTTTAATGTATGAGGCCACACCATCATCTGTATGGTGAGTGTGTGGTCAGTCTACAACTTCTGTGTCTAACAGGGTTAATGAGAACTAAAAAAGAAGAATAATTCTCTCAGTTTCTGTAGGTTCTTGAAGAGGAGAGCAGAAGTCTTTTCCGTGCCCAGAAGTGACTCAGCTGTGTTCAGTTATGTATGAGGAAACACTGGAGAAAGTGCATAAGATCAAGCACTGGGGAATCCATCTAGGAGGAAAATATGAATACAGTAGGAGAGATTAGGGAGTAAATTGGAGGCAAAACTGAGGGAGATCTGAGAAGCAGGACTGGTGCAAAGCCGTCACTGTATAGGGTCAGAAACAATGCAATTAGAATTGGAGGACGTGCTCTACAGCTCATTATATTTTTCAGTGTGATCATTTACTCCTCTGAAGTCAGCAAATGCTATAAATTGGGGCTTGATTTATTGTTGTGTTGATTGTTTAGTCTTAAGAAAGTGGTGGAAAAATTCTTACTAATGAAGATTTAACTTAAAGTGTGTGGTGCATATTTCTGCCCCCCCCCCAGCTGTTAAACATTTACCAGCACACTATGAATTAGATTCATGAAAAACAATCAAACAACAAGGCAGATAATAGAAATATACAGCAATAAGGACCTTTTTGATGCCTGGCTAAGGGACTTGGTGGACCCAGAATCTTTGATTCTTGCTACCTCATACACATCATGTTTTCCAAGGTAAACCTTATTCCAATACTCCATCATTGCTCAAATGTTTTCTATGGTTCTCTATTGCCTAGAAAATAAAATATATACACTGAGTTTGGCATTCAAGGCCCTTCATGATCTATCCTCAACCTATCTCTTCCATCTTCTATCCCACTACTTCCCTATGTAAATTCTCTGGATTTTGCCCTCACTTTGAGGAAGAAAGCAGACCAGCCACCTTTCATTCTTTGGACATTACCACCATACTCCAGCATAATATCCCTCCCTGCACCCCATTTCTGCTTTCTCTTATGTGTTCTAATCCATCATTAGAATATTAGGTCCTGGAGGGCAGAAACTATCTTTCTTTTGCCTGTATTTGTATCTCCAGTGCTTAATACAATGCTTGGTGCTGATTTATATGTAAATCTGCCATTCCAGTGAAATTGCTATTTTCATGGTTCCCAAAACATTCCATGCCAATGCCTCCTTCATACCTTTGAATATGTTATTTTCTCTGCCTAGAATATTCTCTTCCCTTCTTTAATTTATGTCCTACATTTCTTTCAAGACCTGAATGAAATGTCAAGTGTAATAGCTGGGTTTTTCTTGGCCAGGGTTGTGTGACTACTTCAGCACACTTCATGATTTGAGGTTCCATGGTATGAATTTCTGCCTATAGGAGTTTAGATCAAGTGATTGACCAAGCTCCTACATTGCATTAATTTATTGCTTATTGTATACTTAAACTCCCAGTGAAACCTCAGGCTGAGAAGTTCCCTCTCTAAGTAGAAGTGTATTAAGTGCATTAAGTGTATTCAGTATTAAGTGTAGTGTGTTACAATCTTTCATGTTTGCACTTTGACTTAATAGTTTTTTTTTGGAGTAGAACATATATGTAACTTCTTAACTAATCTATTAAATGTTTAGATTTTTAAAACATAGCTTTTAAAAAATCTCTTCATAACTTTTGAAAGAAGCTTTGCTGTAGTTTCTTCAAATATCATTCATAGGACAATTGTTCACAACTGCATTGGGTAGGATGCCTATCCTGAGGTAACAGCTACACCCAAAATTTGCTCAGTGTATGTCATCCTTAGTCTAACTATGAGAAATTGGCTGCTATATCCCCCACCCAAATATCAGCCACCTATTGAAGGTTGAAGAGAGAGCTGAAAGACCAAGTTGCCCAACAAACAAATCATGAATTTAGAATGACTGACCAAGAGCTTAGCCATTTGTACTCTGACCTATCAGTGCCCCATGAGACCCACAGATAAGGCAGGAATTGTCTAAGACTATGTAATAAGAAGTGGCAAAGCCAGGGCTAGAACCAGGGTTTCTTGACTTCTAATCTTGGGCTTTTTTTACTGAAACATACTAACATCAAGGATGTTGTGTATGTTAGGATGTGAAACAACCACAGATACATATCTTCAACTAATTGTACTTGCCTGGCTCCAGAGCCTGTACTCCTAACATTCTTCTCCTCTGTGCACATTCCCTATCCCAAAGCAGGTCTGAGGCACAGACTGGCCCCAGCATCAGAGGGACTTATGGGAGTGGAGCCTGTGGTGTTCAAGTTATGTGACATTTATTGAGAAAGTAATCAGACAGCATGCATGAAGGAATGACAAGGGGATTCACTAGGGTTATTTTGTAAACACAGAGAAGAGGTTTTCTCTAAGTCCCCTGATCCTAAAGGGTCTGAATGGGTTTATAGAAGAGGAGAGAGGAATTAATAGTATTGATTCTTTGGACAGAAGGGGCAGACATGAGGGCTAAGAGTTGAAAGGAGGAGGTAAATAATGTTGGTGTGGGGAAGGGGATAGGGAATTGAGTGAGATTCCCAGCAGGGCCCCATCACTCTGAAACAACTTGAGAAAAGGAAGGGTCATTGCTAAAATTCATTTTACAGCAGCTGGTTATAATAACCTGCTTCTCAAAGATGTCCTCACCACTCTTGCAGTTTGGCTCACAGCCTGCCTGGATCTGCTCATACTTCCCCTCTGAGGTACAGAAATGATAGGTGCAGAGAGCTTCCTCCCTGGGATCTGGGCCATGGGCTTTACCCCAATGCATTTCTTGCCTTGTTGTTCCCCTGAAAAGGACTGCCCGCTTAAACTCCACCCATACTTAGATCTCAGAATGAGGCAATGTCTACTGAGAATTCCTACTCTGACTCCAGCTAGGCTTCCTAAACCTTTTGTAGATCCCCACCATTGTTGTAAGATAGTTCAAGGGAATGAAGTAGGCAAGGACCACAGTCCATTCCAGAGGGAGCAGGACGCTGAATTGGTAGAGCATTGCCACCACCTGAATGATAGTCACTGCTCCATTGTGCCTACCTAATAGAATTGGACCTTTGCAAGCTTAGTGAAAGCCCTCAAAGAGTGAGCTGAGGTCCTCAAGTCACCTGTGGAGGGTACAGGTCAATGACTGAGAATGATCCACAGGTCCCTTGGCTCATCTGATGACCTCTATGCCCTAATACATATTCCTTTATAATTGGGACTCCCTCTCACCTCTGCCAGGGCTTAGGCATTGTCCACCCATGGCTTCTCAGCCTCGCGGGTGAGGAAGATCAACCTTTGCCTTCCCCACAGTTCCTCAGTCCCCTTTCAGGATAAACACCTCTCTATGTTTTGATTGAAGCTGCCTTGGACCATAGTCTTTGAAGGGATGAGAGAGGGAATATGGAAGGCAGCAATACCCCATTGGGTCTTTCTATTCCTTCAGGGACAATCCTGCCCCCTCCCAACCTCACTCCCTACTCTTCCATTCCCACCAGATATCACTTACCTATGCTAAAGGGAAAAAATATTGTCTGGATCATGCAGGACTCATCTTCTTTCAGGGTGCAGGTCTGCTCAGCCTCCTCACACTTCCCATCTTTATAGAATAAGCATTGTTTGCATTGAATAGTTCCAGCTGTAAGCCAAAATAACCCAATTCTCCTCCAAGGTGAGAGTAGGAGTATTGGAGGGAGAAGGTAATGGGATGGACGATGGGCAGAAATGAGTTATCAGAGTACTCAAGGGAGATAGAATTCATTACTTTTTCACTTCTCTGCATAGCCTTATCCATCTTATTCCTTAGAACTTTGTATCTCTCACTTTACAAGAGTAGAAATTGAGACCTAAGGAGATCAAGTGTTTTTTTTTTCCTCAAGGGAGGGCTGGGACTGGAAGCCAGGTCTCCTCATTTCTATTCCAGGACACCTTCCAGTATACCAGGCTATCTTTGGAATTCTTCCTATCACCTCTGGTCCCAGGGAACACACAGTAGCATCCCATAGCCAAAGAATGAACTGGACTGGTAAGATTGGGAGCTGCAAATAGGGCGGCAAGTTGAAGATCATTCAGAATGGTTGGTCTACACTCTCTTGCTTTCAACTCTAATAATAATCATAGTAGCTAGCATTTATGGAGCGCTTTAGGGTTTGTAAAGCTCTTTACATATATTACCTCATTTTTTTAAACTACATACCTCTATTGCTGAGCCCTGAAAAAAAGAATCCCATTGACCTTTCCCTTATTCCTTTGATGTGATTCCCAGGATTGAACTCCTCTTCTCTGAAATATCATAGCTCTCCCATTCCCTCTCAGATACTTAGCACATTCTACTTTGTGTTCTAATTACTCGTCTACCCACCATCTTCCCTATTAGAATATAAGCAAGTAAGGACAGGGGGGTAGAAGCCCCTGAATGAGGGTCCTTGTACATTCCCTTCAAGATCTAGCCCAATGCCTTTTGTATAGTGTTAGCTGATCAATAAATCTTTGTGAAATTAATGAATGAAGAAATGGGAAGACAGGAAATCAGAAGAGTCAAGAGGAACTAAGGCTCAGTACCCAAGAGGAACCTGATCAGGGGAGGAGAACTAGGAGGTAACAGGAGGTTCGCACCTCTGACTTGATGTCCCATTGTTAGGCTTAGAGAAAAGTGGCGAAAAATCAGGGAAACGAGAGCTCATTCTAAGACTTACCCCCTGAGAGGCAAAGCAGAGACAGACCAAATAGGGGCAGCTTGTCCATCTTCATGCGTCACTGGCTCTAGACAGTGGACTCAGTGCAGGTCAAGAAGAAACTTAATTTGGACAGACACTGATATAGCAGTTGCTGCAAACCTACCTTCTAAGGACTCTCGTTTTATAATACCTTGGGTTGTGGGCATTGACTAATTAGGACAAAGGGAGGAGAATGGAAGGGGAAGAGACAATCTAATTTGCCCTCCCCACTTGGCTCCCTTTTATCCTTCCCCTAATACTATACACCTACCTCATCATTTTCTTTCTTCCAGGCTTCTCACTCTCAAAACTTTAGGGTATTCTGAGTGCAAAATAGGCCAAAGAACAAGACCCATTCAAGTCAATCAATAAATGGTAAGTGAACACTTACTTTGTTTCCAGGGCAGGTAGTTGGCACCAGCCCTGGAGTCAGGAGGACTTGAGTTCAAATCCAGCCTCAGACACTGCTTTGTGACCCTGGGCAAGCCCCTTAACCCTGTTTGCCTCAGTTCCTCATCTATAAAAATGAGCTGGAGAAGGAAATGGCAAACCACTCCCGCATCTTTGCCAAGGAAACCCCAAATAGGGTCATGGAGAGTCGGACATCACTGAAACAATACAACAACAACGACCAACAATGATGATGACAACAATTTTTCTAATATTTTTGGAATATAGAAGTATGAAATATGGTGTCTGTCCTCAAAGACTTGAAACCTTGTTGGTAAGACCAGACTAAAATACTGAAAACAATTACTGCCAATTAAGTGCCAAAATATGTGATATGAATTTTGGCACTGTAGGATTCCATAAGATTATTGAATCCTAGAGTCTTACAATTAAAGAATATTAGAGTGCTTGTGCCTGAAAAGACCTTCAAGGATATCTAAGTGAATCATCCAATTTCACAGATGATTACTTGGATACAGAGAGCCTAAGTGAGTATTCTAAATGACAGTGTCAGTGACTAGATCTCATGTCCCTTAAATAGTAAATAATTGTTCTATTAACTGTCTTGCCTCCAAAGAAGAAATTAGTGTGCGTGGGAATAACATAGGAAGTATAAGGAAGCAATGTGGCATAGAGAGTGGAATTCTGGTCTTGGGATTAGGAATCCTGAATTCAAATTGTAAACACCCCACGCTTCTTAGGACTCCCTTGAGAAGCTACCTTGAGTAAAAGGAATAAAGAGGTCTGCATCCACTCAGGACCACAATTCATCATCTCCCACTGCTACATTAACTTATACTAGCTAGCCAAAGGACACAACTAGTTCAAAGAAGTATTTATTTGAAAAAAAATTTTTGGACAAGGCTTGAGATTTTATCAGCGTAGACTGGCATCTACTCCATGGCATATAGATGTAGTCGTCTAGGGCACTGAGAGATTGACTTGCCCAGCATTTTCCAGCTGGTCTGGGACTCCTTTCTGATTCTGAGGCCATTCTCTCTACACCATGCTAACTCTCAAAAAACTAAATACTTGAAGAAATAGCATAGTAAGAAAAGCAGTGAAAGAACATTTAAAAAAACAAACAAACAAACAAACTTTGGATATACTCTTCCATAAATTCACCCACTGTCAGTAGGAAGAGGGAACATATGTAAGGAACATATTTGGAGAGTAAAGGGTCCACATGACCAGCAACCCCTATGGAAGTGTAAACACATGAGAACATGTCTGATGCACTGGTGGAGGGGCACTAATGTGGAAAGTCCATACGGTCAGGACCCACATGCGGAGAAGCAGCTCACATCTCTAATAGTGCAACACTTCTGATGTCTTACAGTGATGACATTGTGTTGTTCCAACCTGGGCTGCTCATCTATGGTCTTTCATGGTATTCAGGGTCTTCTGGGCAGATCTCATGGTTTCTGTTTCCCTGGACCCATGGTTTTGGCTTCTGGCTTCAGTTCTACTTCTCAGGTTAGGTGCTGCCTTTTCCTCATGAGAGGAGGATTGGGCTCCACCATCCCTTTGAGCTTAGAGCCCAGATGCCTAAGCTTTAGCTCTTTTAGTAGGCTCTGTGAAGAGATAGGCTGAATATAAAAGAGAGAGATTGAACACACACACATATATGTACATATATGTACATACACACACATATATATGCCCACCTGTATATGTATATTCCTGCTTATCTATCTATGTGTCTGTCTGTCTCTCTGTCTATCTATCTATCTCTCTATCTATGTGTCTGTGTGTCTATCTATCTATCTATGTGTCTATCTATCTATTTATCTATCTATCTATCTATCTAACTAACTATGTGTCTGTCTATCTATCTTACTGCCTTTATGATGCATATGTGGCTGGCTATAAACGTTTAGACATTGCTGCATTCTACATTTATCGACTACATGATCATGACCAAATTACTTAACTCCTCAAACCCTTGATTTTCTTCTGTTAAATGAGGTAGTGACACTTGCACTATCTAGCTCTCAGGGTTGCTGTGAGGAAAGTGTTTTTGCAAAACTTAAAACATTCTCTGCATGTGAATTTTTATTATTCATGGGGGAGGCAGGGTTTGAATTGGCTCAGTTAGCTTTCCACTGGGAGATATATTTATGTGCAAAATTTCCCCAAATACCCATTTTTAGGCCATTGCTTTGCATCCCTTCATAAGGGGTCTGTGTCTTCTCCAGCGGGTGCATCTTATAGTTAGAGCATAAAGTTAGACCAATAGGGTTACATTCCCAACTATATCACTGACTTGCTGTGGGACCAGCAGGGGGACATTTCTGATTTCTACATCTCATCTGGTCTCCCCATGGGAAGAATGTGTTTCCAATGACTCCTAAGAAGACTTAGAAAATAGGACAAAATATGACACATGGGGATATTTTCCTTGAGAAACATATCAGTTGTGTTCCTTTTTCGCATCTGCTCAAGTTTGGCAGATAATTCCTTTGTTCCTCCTCCTCCCTGTGGCTTTTGCGACAGGATATCTTCCTCATTCTCATCCACCCAGAGCCCAACTAATGTCTGTGTTACTATCTGTCTGAGGGGAAATGCCAAGTCAATTTGAACACTGACACCCACACCTCCTTCTTGATACCATCTCTGTATAGGAGACTTTCTGAATGATCTGGTATTTATTCCCTCCTTGCACTTTGAAAATGTTTGAGGGAGAATGGGTTTAGGAGAAAGAAGTGGGGCCTTGAGCAGGTTTGCTATTGAGTGGGAGGTGACTGCTAAGGGCAGTCCTGCCTGCTTAAAGCCAGGGTTAGAATCAATGATCAATAAAGTCAGCAAAGTTCACAGAGCAGATAAAAACATATCTGCATTAGGTAGGTTGTTTTTTTTTAATTACTTTCTCTTCCTTACCAGGGATAGTAAGTGTAAATCTTTATTTGTTATGGATTAAAGGTGTGAAAAGGATCAAACAAACCTAAAAATAAATCTAAATTAATTGTTATCCAGATATATGTAGAACCCAGTATGTGACTTTACATGTGGATCCCCCCAAAAGCTACTCCAAGTTGGAGACACTCAAAACCATTAGCTAGATGCTACTGCTCAAAATAAAATATATTTAATCAAACATGGCATTGATTCTCCCATGGGTTACTCTGTCACCATTTGGGGAGAGCACACATGCAGAGAATATGCATTACCACGGAACATGCATGGAGGGAACATATGTGCAGAACACCTATAGCCAGGGAACATTCCTGAAGGGGAACATGCCAGGAATCCATATGTCTATGGCATACATGTGGAACACATACAGGGTATATGAGTGACCTGAATACATGTGTAGCCAAGGCAACTTCTTAGCTCTGAGTTTGTAGGGTACTACTATCTTTCGCTGCTGTTGGCACACTGCTCTCCACAGTGAATATCTGCTGGGCATCTCTGGTCTTTGAGATGCTTTCTGCTACTGCCTCCTGGGATTCATTTCTTCAGCGCTCTACCTGACAATCTGCTCCAACTTAGAAAGTTATGATGGCTAGAAATCCTCTGTTCTTTCAGGACATGACTACTGAGAGTGTAATACCTTCACAGTTAACCAAGTGGCCCACAAAAGCCAGTCAGAGGTAAGATGAAATCGATTGTTTTGACTGCTTATGTCTGATACTGAAAGTCTGAGATCCCAGACAAGTATCTGATTTAGGGTGAGAAGATGTCTTGCATGAGAACCCTGCAGCTCAAGCAATCCAAATCTGCTAATGTATCTTGAAGGCTACCTTCCTTAAGATTATGGGAAGACAGTCTGTCATTGTGTTTATTATCTAAGGAGGGAGCACAAAATCTGAGTTGCCTACCAGGTATTCAAACCACCAATCTAGTGGTAGTGTATTCTCTCTGAATGCAGTTATCCTTTCTACATCACTACTTTTTCCATTGTGGTTTAGATATATCCTGGGTTGGCATAAGAAATTAAATGGAATGGGCCAGCTAGGTGGAGCAGTGGATAGAGCATTGGCCCTGGAGTCAGGAAGACCTGAGTTCAAATCCCACCTTAGACACTTGACATTTACAAGCTGCGTGACCCTGGGCAAGTCACTTAACCCCAATTGCCTCACGAAAGAAAAATTAATTAAGTGAGAGTTTTTTGTAATCCCTTTGGGAAGCTGTAGACATCACGTGAAGGCCAACAGATGGATGACACAGAGTTTATGATCAAATACTTAACCCAAATTTTACAATAAGATACTGTAAACACCCCATAAAAGAAATATAGAAAGTTCAGATTTCTTCTCTGGTACAAAGGGAGGCCCAAAAATTTTTGTGCAGAGTTTCCAGTTAGTGGGGGCACTATGCCCCTAACCAATGTGCTGTGGAAGGGATAACTGTATCTACCTGAATGACTACAGTATCCCCACTGGCCACGAGAGGGCGCACAGTCCATAGATGCCTGAGCTATTTTTCCAATCACCAAGTCTAAGACTTTAGTAATATCTCTAAGAGTTTTGGTTTGTGTCCTGTTGGCTGGATTTGGGATAAAACTGAATATCTATAGGATATATCTATTGAATAAAATGGAAAATCACCCAAAACATTAAAATTACAAATCTATAT